TGTGCTGGTACAGACTTTGTGCTTTGCACTCTTAGACCCTGAATGGACCCTTTACTGCCCAGATAATTGGGTAAAATATCGGTACTGCTGAAAACCAGTATTTTTGTCACTGTCTTTAATGTGTCATTGCATAATCTGGCTTTGTATTCCAGAATTTCAAGGCTAGGTTGGTTTTGGTAGGATTGATTTCGGTAACATTGATTTCTTTGGTACCTATTTGATCTGTATTTGTGTTTATGCTCTTTCTTAAAGAGAAGTTAGCAAAAAAAAAGCAGAGTGGATTCTGGACGCTGATCCTGACACTGAAATGTAAATGGTAAATCGATTGAGAATTCGAGCCTTAACCCACGGCCCCTGACACGGGGGGCACAGGTTTGGTGCTGGGGAGAATCCCCCGGCCACCCCCTGCCACGCTGCCCCCCGTGTGCTGGCAGGGGCATCCCTGTCCCTCTTCATCTCAAGCTTTTTTTAAAATTCATGTCAAATTAAAGTGGCAGTGTAACCGTAGTCTTATCCTACTGTCCTGAGATATATTATCTGTTGACTCTACGTAGCTGGTGCTTGCTTCGCGCCCAGGGATAAACAGTTTGGCTCAAGGCACCTGTAAAATTAACTGCCTTTCTTAGGGCCGTCCCAAAGAATTTTGCCATCATCACTTAAACTAAAATCTGCGGGGGGAATTTCCATCTCTCCATGATCTTTCATAGCATCCTTCTGAGAAGTGTGCCTGGCAAAAGAAAGGAAAATTATTCAGGATTTTTTTTTTTTCATTATTATTAAATTGAAAAAAGTCCAGCAGGTGAGGGCTGGCTCCCCAAGGACAGGTGACCAAAGCCCACAGCTCAAACCACATCTGATGTAGGCTGACTGCCAGCGCCAAATAATGTTCCTGTTGCATCCAGAAATATTAAGGTCATCCTGAGGCAGAACCCTTAAGTAAGAATCAGTGACAGGTACGCAACGTGTTATTCAATGGTTGCTTTAAGGTAGTTGTGCAGTTCCATGCAGTTCCATGGCAGTTCCATGGCCGTGCCTGCAGCCAGTCTCTGACATCCCACAGCCTTCCTCCCTGCAGTCTTCCTCCCGCAGTCTTCCTCCCTGCAGCCCCCGCTGAGCTCAGCCCCCCGGCCCCGGCGCAGGCAGCCCCCGGGAGGAAAATCTGGGGGTGGGGATGTACATCTCCAGGGCAGCTTGGGAAGACCAAGGAGGGGCCAGCAGCCAAGGGTTGCCAAGGAGGGAAGAGCAATAACCTGTGAGGGGGAGGAAGGGTCGTGCAGCTCCAAGTACAGCACAATCCCGATTCTGGCCATTAGACGTTATGGCAACTAATTATAATTCCTCTTCTTGCCTCCTCTTCCTCAGTTTGATGAGAAATGGCAGGAGAAATCTTTTCTAACTTCTTCAAGCTGTAGGTTCCCAGATCCTTTCTTTCCAAACTAAGCCCACAGTTGAAATTTCCTTTTCCTGGGAATACCTGGATTTGGTTAAACCTTCTGTATGCGCCAGTGAAAACCTGCAGAAAGACAGAGGTGCCTTTTCTGCTGTCCCTGCTTCTGGGGGCTGCTGGATGCCAAGGTGGGAAATCGAAATACTTAACAATAGATGTTTATTACTATAGCATTTAAATATTTGAAATTAATTTAGGGAGTCTTTCATTTCAGTGTTACTTTATTTAACTGTTTTTGTTTCTGTGGTTTTTAGATCACCACATCCTGACCAACAAAATGGTTGGAATTTATTCTGGGCTTTGTCATTTCTTGAAGTCTGAGGGATAAAAATGGATGCTTATCTCCTGTCAAGCCCCTTGGAGAGCTATGAGGAAATGAGCAATAAAAGGCTCTTTGAGGCTCTTTTAACTTGAGTTTATTATCTATTAGAGTTACTGATGTGTGGAAACCAACAGACAAATTTTACATGTTTATAGTTACAAAGCCCTCAACGGCTGTAGCGATGAGCTGAGCCGTGTTTTTATAAATGTAACATTAAATCATTGTGATTTTGTAAACCAGTCTCCTTAAGCAAATTCCTGAGATAATAATAAGTATGTTGATACACTGGTTTGTGGGTACTCCCTCACTCTCGCTCGTTTTGTAACTCCACCACGAGAGCAATGCACAATGTGGGCTTTTTTGGGTGCAGGATTGGCCCGAAGCAGTGCTGCAGTTCATTTACCTTGGTGGATGCAGTGCTGGATGGGCACAAGAAAACGGGGTGAAAAAAGGCACTGAGCATACAAAAGGGCTCAGGACTGTGCAAACCTCGTCAGGACGGGAGGATGCAGGAAACGGCTCCACATTTCTTTATCCCTGAGGGAGCCGGATCTGGAGTTTGCAGAGACTCAGCCCCTGGGGACACTGGACAGCTGATGGCCAAGGACAGAACTTTCTGCCCACAGGGTGACTGGCTCTTTATTATCATCTCCTGCTCCTCATAGGTCTTTTCATAGAGTTTTAGGACAGAGGTATGCTCTGCTGTGCCTTGTCCTCCTCTCTAAGTTTCTCTTCTTGTCTGGCCTGGGTGGACTTTTTGCATCTAATCCTGTCCACTGGAGATGGTCAAACTAATAAGCCATTTGGATCCAGCACAAAGGACGGCACAAAGGGGGCTGTTCTCAGCCATGGCTGGTTAATAATACTGCCGAGGGCATGCACTAAAACACACACGTGGAGAACACAGACGTGTCAACTCTTGTCTTTTGCGTAAGAAAGTGACTCTTTAGTATCCGGATTGCTGTTCACTGCTGCGGTGCCTGTGCCATCCACATTTACACCACTGCAGCCCTGGTGTGAGTGGCTGGTGGGTCTGGGAAGTCTGTTCCTCTCCCAGGGACATTCCCCGGAGACCCTCTTATGCCCCTGAGGTGATCCAGCACGCACATGTATCCATCACTCGCTTACGTGCCTGTCCCTGGCCCAACGCCAGTCCCATGCATTGGGGTCCCAGTAACTCGAGAAGGCTGAGAATGTGCAGCAGTAAAACAAACGTCAGCCATTCGACTTCCAAAAATTGCATTAAGCCAGAAGAGACAATGTTATTGCTGCAGGTCTGTTTTAAATCAGCCCAAATATTATTCTGGAGCCAGAGCTATAATTCAGTAAAACTTGATACAATCTTGGAAAGCCATAGAAAGTGTTAGGAAATACTGCTGGAAGTTGAGACCTATAGATACTGCAATAATCTGCATTTTAAACTAAATAGGCATGCCTTTTGTACCAGTACTCAACACTAATTGAGGCGCACTGCAACCAATATCTTTAAAATTCAGAAGGCTGAACTGTTTTCCCAATGGTACTTGCAGCTGAAAGAGCATATGAATGTATAGGAAAGATACATCCATACGGCCACGGAAGCTGGCTAAGGGGTATTGCTAATTGCATTACTTTGATGATCATTGAGGCTGCCAGTAAAACTGACTTTCAGGATGTTCAGCTCTGTGGGGTTCTGAGGGTGGGGGTAAGGCACAAGGGAGAGGTCTCCCCTCCCTGCAGGGGCTGCTGCTGCTCCTGTGCAGAGGCTCAAAGGAGCAGAGATTAAGGAGCAGAGATCATCAGTGGCTTTTTTGATGAAATGTTACATTTTTGGATTGGCTTTGCTTCCTCTATAATTTTCCTTAAATGGAACGTCGATGGCTACATTCTGTACATTTTGCACAAATAGGAATTGAGTTCCACCCCACGTTTTACTCGAGAGGGAAGGCAGCTGATGCACAGAACTTGAATGACTTGGCTTGAGAGAGAAATCTGGTTTAGAGCTCACATTGGAAGACACCCGGGCGTCTTCCCACCTCTTCCTCACGCATGTCTCTGTTGCATTTCTGCCTGTGTAGGAAAGGTAAAAATATAAAATAAAGCATGAAAATTTCTAGTGATACTCGCTTCATAGCTTCTTTCTTACAGACTCAAGATGACTTACGAGTAATAACCTTCTAGTGAATGTATTGTTTTCACTGAAACATCAGGATGATATTATTGTTGCTTTAAGCTCCATATTTTTATCATTAAAAACACACATCTAGACACTACACATTTTTGGCCTTTTTACCAAATACTGTAATATTGTGATTAGATACTTCATGTTTTTGAGGAATCGGTATTGTTATCTTTCTGGTCGCCCTCAGTTTTTTACAATGTTGATGTGACTTTTTCTCTGATTAACTCTTTCAAGATATTCAGTGGTGTTGGTCAGAATATTTCCACCAAGCATTTTTGGACAGAAAACAGCCTCTGCTGATACAAGACTTTCACTGTTTGAATTTGTGATGGGTTTTAAAACCAAAATATTAGCATATTTGAAATGAATTAATGAGCCATACTTACTGAAGAAAACCAAAACCTGTTCACATAACAAGTAAAAAGAACTAAATCTGTGTAGGAATATCTCCTGAAAATGGCAGTGACATTTTAATCCTTCCTAGTACTGGCTTAATCTTCCACGATATTATTTCCTAGAATTTGGATCCTTTGGATTCCTGTTGTACCAGTGGAGGTTTTGGCACAGAATCTAGTGAAGCCATCATCCAGCCCTTACCCTAAGCCTGGAAACGTGATGCATATTTTTACCGTGACTACCAAGAGCTGTCTAAAATGTTTTCTGTGAAAGTGTTTAAGACAACTTAAGGATGACAGACTCTTTGCAATGGCCAGAGCTGCCTTGTCCCATATTATTTGAAAAGCACACCACTGAGATCAGAAAATATCATTAATGTAAGAAAAATATCAGTTATAAGAAAAATAATTGATGTAGAACTTCAAAATTCCACCAATTTGAAAGTTGCAGTGATATTTCAAAAAAATTTACAGAAAATTAACTTTCTGGATAATTGTAAGATGTGTGTTTCTCCTGAGTGCTGAATGAGATGGTGTGAAGAGTTCTGGAAGTTTTCTGTTCCTGGGAGTTGATAGTACATCTACTACTACATGATAGTACACATGCAGGGTGTAAATAACCCTGCAAAAAAAGTTTAGAACATAACTTATTTTGGTGCTTGCTTTTCTCCTCAGGTTTGCCAATTTGTTGTATCTGTCAATGGCCTCAACGTTCTCCACGTGGATTACAGGACAGTGAGCAACCTCATCCTGACCGGCCCTCGAACGATTGTGATGGAAGTGATGGAAGAAATAGAGTCCTGAGAAGGAAAAAAACCCCTTAGTGGATATTTTTGTGAGAGGAAAAGCGACGACCATGGAGCGGCACGACACAAGGGGCGGAACGTTGCTGTGTCTTAAATAGATGATTTTGCTTTTAGGGGAGGGGGGCTCTCTTTCTTTTAACAGTAATAGCACTGGCGATTATGCTAAGAAATGAACAATAGATACCAGCATATTTTCACTAAGGACTTTTCTTTGCCCGACGGAGACAAGGTTAAGTTCTTTAGGTTGCCTGGCCAGCCACGTCTGCATGGGGCAGAATGGTTTCCCACCTAAGAGAACATGCAGGTTTCCTCAGAGTCCACCACTGGATCAAAGCACCAGATGAAAGAACCAAGCACTGTGGACATCACGGGTGGTTTGCATGACATGTACGCTGGCAAACACCCTCCTGGTGCCCAGCTTTGCCCCAGGAGCACGCGGTGTCGCAGTTGCTCTCTCCTTGGGCCAAGGGACAGCTGACTAAACGCTGGCTTGATTGCAATCGAACACAAACGAGCTGCACATGCATGAAACAAGGTGTCCGTTCTCTGCAGAGGACACCCTGGTATGAATGTTTGGGCCTGAAACAACACACAGATCAGCCTGGAAAGAAAAATCATGCAAACGGGAAAGCGTGCGGTACGTGTACAAAATCTGCCTTTGAAAATCGGGCTTTTTATTTAGATGCCTGCGCACTGGCTTAGGTGCTCGAGTATAAAATGTTGATTTGGGGCTTTTTCCTTATCTGTAAAGGAAAGGTGTCTGTCTCAGCCTTGCTGTTCGTCATTGGGAGAAATTTTGGACACCTTTATTCTGAGAAGAAGAATAGTATTTGGCAGGTTGAAGTGGGAAATGCACAGTGTTAGCATTAGCAGTGATACAGCCAGAGGCTCCAGGAGAGAAGTACACTTCAAATTGAAGCAATGTACTCAAATGTACATTAAGCTTGTTAGCACTTTCCAATCATCAAATGTTTTGCCAACTACAGACTTGCCACCTGAGTTGCATTTGACACTATTACTAATAAAACATTGTATTTAACTGGCTCTTACTCTTTTTCAAACAGCAGGGTTTCCTCACTGAGGAATCAAAGAAACAAATCTTTTTAAAAAACGTATATCCAAATTCCATATTCTGCAGAGTTAGGTGACTCCTCAGCTTGATGATAATTGGATTTCATGAGTTTTATTTGATCTTTGAACTGAGCACATATATCCTTGTCCACAAAATTATAAATATATATTGCAGACTTTCTCTGCTGTCTAAATTTTGCAATTAAACCTTGACTTTCTATATGAGCACACCACAAATCCTTCAGTTTCGGGGTGGGGAAAGTATTTTTTCCTCAAATAATTTTGAAATATGTTTTATATTAAAAATTGTTCTCACTAAAAATATTGCTCTTGCAGTATGTTTTTCACTTACTGAAGCACTTTTACAGCAGAGATACAGCGAGTCTTCAAAATCACACATGCCTGCAGCTTTGTAGGCAGAAGTCCATGTGTTGTTTGTTTCTGACACTGTACACCCATGGTTGATTTTATGCCATGAAAACTTCTTGTATTACACTAACATGCAGCGGCGTAGGGAGGTATGAAACTGCAACTGCTGACTTGACACTTACCAGTGACACAAAAGTGTTCCAAAGATTCTTCCGAAGTGTCATTTAGTGTGACAGTGGTTTATCCCCCTTATGACCCCCCAAATAATTGGTACACATATATAATCCATAGCAGATTATATTCCAGAGGTCATCTAAAATAAGTAGTTCAGCACATAATGATATATGAGGTTGTAACAATGTGGATAGTATCCACTAAGAATGGTTGGAAAAAAATCCTGTAGTCCCAGAAATGTCCCAGTATGCTAAAAGTTTTTGATTTTGTGAATCCAGGAATGCCTCCACAAATACTTCTGTTTTCTTTTCTTTTTTTGCCTGGGTTGTTTTGGTGGCATGGCAAGTACATACTTTGTATCCCTTTAAAATATAAATTCTACGTGTTAGGCTAGCTTAAATATTAAAAGGGGAAGGATTTTCTTAGCAAAATGCTAATGATTCTCTCTAATGCCATCATGGATTCTTCTGTCTTGCATCTCTTGCCTTAGTTAATATTCTGCTACAAGTTCCCCGTAGCTTACAGATAATTAAGAAACTGGGTCAGAATTTAGCTTAATAATGCATCACAGAGTGCACTTTAGACTTCAGCAAAAAGAGTGGGAATGGGGGCAGGGAGAAATCTGTGCGTATCGTTATGTTACAGATTGGAGATGGCATTTTCATTTGCAAGACACATTAGTCTCTATCACAATTTGAGCACTGCTACTCGCCTGCTGTTTAATGGGGATTTCCATATTGTGTTCTCAACTTGATTGGCAATCCGGGATTTAATTAATTCTTTCCCTTTTCAGTGTGACAAAGGTATTCAAATTATCCCTGCAATGAAATTTTGTATTTTGGAAAGAAAGGATACGAAGTTAACAATGAAGCTATGAAATGCATCATTTCCAATCAAACTGCAGTTTGGCTGCAGGTGGTGATACGTACCCTGGGAGACAGCCCACGGGCACCACTGGCAACCTCCCTGTGCTTCACAGGGCACAGGACAGGGAATATACCAGAGCTCCTTCCTTCCTGCAAAGAACCAGGGGAAACGTGAGATTATTCACAGAAGTGAGGATTTTCAAGAGGTGCACGAGGATCACAGCGTGGACTGAAGCAAGAAACCAGAAAGGAAAAAAAAACAAACCCCGGCTTCAGCAGTAATCACTTCATTAAAAACAGGCATTTTTGTAGGACAGTCTCTAACGTGATCACATTTTTGGTTATTATAGATCTTGTGAGATCCTCTGATAAATCCCCGTGCCTCAATAACATGGATTCGTGCCACTCCTCTGCACGTGTACATTTGCAAGTCATTTATGGAACATCTTCAAGCAATATAATAGTTAATTAAATTCAAGTAGCAGTTAAGTTAATTGGAGCATTAATTCAGTGCAATATTTCTCCTGTTTTCTTCAGTTGTATTTCCTGCAAGAGACGTAATTTTGATTATCAATATCAAATACTGTGTGTATACTATTCTCTTGGTGTTTTCTTCCTTGACTCATTATACCCTCGCTGATAACTCCAGAGCACCAGGGACGTGTCAAACGGCGTCCCACAGCTACTGGTTTAATGGTCAGCACGTCCCCTTAGCGTGGGCTAGACCTCTGAGAAAACTGCCCGAGAGTATTTCAGAGAGTAACATATAATATAATATCATCATCATAATGCAAATTTGGGGATAGTGGCGCAGGCTTTGTTGTGCCACTTGGCCTTAGGACCAGGGAACAGTCCCTGTACCCATTTGATGTATGAACATAGACATTGCCAAAGAGAAGTCTGAGGAAGAGGAAGAAGAAGAAGAAGAAGAAGGAGGAGTGACTGACTTCTTCCTTCATCTGCACTGACAGCTGTGACGCATGGGGGTTTCCCTTTCCCTCTGGATGGAGAGGGAATGATCACATTATGGGGTAATGCTCTAATAATTTCAAATCACACTGGGAATTAAATACTCATTTTTTAATGTTAATTTTGCTAAATAGGAATTATTCTAATTTTAGAGAAGGGAAAAACTGAGACAATATGGTTTGCAAAAATGTTTGCCTAATGCGAGCCAGACTGAGAAATCAATTGTTGCAATTATGAGTATTTTCTTCCCGGTGCATAATTAGAACGAGACCACTTGTATAAGTGAAAAAGCATGTGTTTGTCACATGTGGAAGCAAAGCGAGACCACACCGCTCTTCAAAGAAAGTGAGAGAACTTCTAACCTTTTACAATGAAACCGCCATTAAAGGTTTCCATAAATCACACTTTTTAAATTTGTCTTTCTTTATCTGGTGAGTGATGTGGCTTATATTTTTCACTTTTATATGTGCTACTTATAAAAGCAGAAATAGTAACTGCTAATGTAATAACTGTAAATACTAGTGATTTATGGACATATTTTGTTTTCTTTCATATTCTTCTAATTCTTTTGCCACCTTGTTAACAATGGTCCTACTCCAGCTTCCAGCTCCAAAATTCATTCTTGAAGGTCTTGGTGGCCCTGTCTTCTTTGTCATTTTTACTAGTCTGTTTTTGAGGGGCTCTTTATCATGGTCATCATCACTAACTTTTCATAAATTAGCAGTGCTTATTTACTAAGCCTGAGATTTCAGGAAAATGGGTGAACTGGCTGCTGCCTTACTACCCCATGATAACTAACAGACAAACAACGCCTCGAGGTAAGAGAACAAAATAAGACAAGGTTACCATACTCATAGACCCATAGAATTGTTTTGGTTGGAAGACACTGTTAAGATCATCAAGTCCAGCCATTAACCTAACACTGCCAAAATCACCACTAAACCGTGTCCCTCAGCACCACATCTACACATCTTTTAAATACCTCCAGGGATCATAACTCAGCCTCTTCCCTGGGCAGCCTGTTCCAACACTTGACAAGCTTTTCAGTGAAGATTTTTTTCCTAATATCCAGTCTAAACCTCCCCTGGTGCAACTTGAGGCCATTTCCTCTTGTCCTATTGCCTGTTACTTGGGAGAAGCAACCAACCCCCACCTGGCTACAGCCTCCTTTCAGGGAGTTGAAGAGAGCGATAAGGTCTCCCCTCAGCCTCCTTTTCTCCAGGCTGAACACCCCCAGATCCCTCAGCCGCTCCTCATAACCCTTGTTCTCCAGACCCCTCACCGGCTTCGTTGCCCTTCTCTGGACTCTCTCCAACACCTCAAAGTCTTTTCTGTAGTGAAGGGCCCAAAACTGGACACAGTATTTGAGGTGTGGCCTCACCGGTGCTGAGAACTGGGGGACAATCACTTCCCTAGTCCTGCTGCCACACTATTCCTGATTCCCTTGGCCACCTGGGCACACTGCTGGCTCATATTCAGCTGCCTGTTGACCCCCAGCTCCTTTTCTGCCAGGCAGCTCTCCAGCCACTCTTTCCCAAGGGAATAAAATTAATTTGAGGTATAAATACCACCACACGTATTCTTAACAAAGCTTCATGTGGTTCATAACTCAGTACGGGCCGTAGCTTTCATGGGTTCTCTCAGATTACGGAGAGAAAAGATGTGAGATCTCCAAAGAGTGTTTTTTCCCTCCTGTTCTCTGGATGAGCCACCACAGCCCCTCTGCTCCCTCCCTCCATCCCATCCCGGCTGGAGCACACCCTCCCAACCAGAGCTGGCCTTAAGAACCACATAAACTCACATCTTTACTCCAAACTGTAAATGACTAGAGAATGGAATCATTAGGATTTATGCTTTTAGGTTATAGAGTGTCTTGTATTAAACAGAAATTCCCTCTATTCTGTGCTTTTTTTCCGAATTAGGAAATGCTCCTTTTTCCACCTTATTTTTCCAGTGGAACTTGTGATGAACAGAAATCGTGCTTTCCTCTTTGTAACCAAACATAACTCAGGGAATACTAGCTCTTACCTGCACTTCTCAGGCAAACCTCCACTGAGCCTCCCCAGGAAGATTTTATCCAAGTAAAACCTGCAGTATGATGCTTATTACTAGATCGTAGCTGGAAAACACATAGTATGTATGAACCATTAGTTTTTTGCCAAAAAAAAATAAAAAAATAAAAAAAATCAAGTTAGCTTGTTTTTAAATCCTTGTTGATGGTTTTAAATCAGAAGGAAAATGAGTGTTGAACCCAGAAGAGCACCCACCAGGCAGATGCTGTGACTGGATGTAATACGGAAAGGCTTTTGTCCTGTTACATTTCTTGATACCATCACAGAGCAGAAAAATGTTATCATTTTATGACTAAATTAACAATTCAAATTCCCAAGCCTGTCTTCTCAATAAGAACAAAGTTGTAATTAATATTTTTGCATTTAATAACATTCAAGCATAAAATGCAGTAGATAAGGACATAGTAGATATGTTTTTGTGAAATATTTCAGTTTCAAATGTAACAACTACCCGAATAAAACATTTCCTTTAAAGAAACAATTTTCATTTACATAGTAAAGTAATTAAAACTTTTTTCAGATCTTCGATTTCTAAAATCTTTATAAAATATTTATATATATATGCGCAAACACTGCATGTATTGACTAAAAATAAATACACAGGCAGATAAGCATTCTTGTCTGAACAACTGCTTTGTCAATGGAGCCCAGCAATGGGGCTAAACTGAGCTCTTCACGTTTATTAGCACAAGTTTAATTAAGCGTGATGTTGAGCAAAGGCTGGGAAATATTAAGTGATTCCACTCGGAAGAAGTGCTCAGTAGTTTGCAGGATCAGGAAGCCATTTAATTTCTGTTCTCTAAGAGCCTTGCTTTAACTGCAAAGTATTTCTAGTAACAAGATAAGATTTTCTTAAAATTCATTTAAATATTGC